TTATTAGAGCATCACTTAATGACATTAACTTGTGTTGTTGAGGTTCAGAGAATCTATCATTGATGTATGACCTATTAGAGGCTGTTTGTCAGAGTATTGATCCACAATATTAACTTGTGAGAAAGAGGTCGAGAGAATCCATCATGGATTTATGCCCTATCTGAGGTTGTTTGTCAGAGCATTGCTCAAGGACGTTAACCTGTGTTCAAGAGGTTGAGAGAATCCACTAAAGATCTATGACATGTCTCAGGTTATTTATTAGATCATTGCTTGATGATGGTAACCTATGTTATGGAGGTTGAGAAAATTTATCAAAGATGTGTATATTATAACCTATTAAAGATTCCTTGTCAAAGCATTGCTCAATGACATTAACCTTTGCAGAAGAGGTTGGATCAAATCTCCTTGGATCTATGATGCTTTTATTGGGAGGGGAAAATGCCATGTGTATATCAAATCAAAGGTGAAGAATGGTCTATCTTTAGACTGTTAGTATCTTTTCAAGGTTGAGATTAAGACCTTGTTTAAGGAGTATAAGTCCAGTTAGGGACTATAAAAAGCTTATAATTGATTGGAAGTATTGTATTTGCTAGGAATTTCATAAAATATTATATGTTATGTTAAAAGTATTGGAGCAATTTATTTGTCCATAATTACTATCACCATGAAATTGATATAGTAATGGATGATGTCAAGATATTTACATAAATAACCTTTTGAAGTTGGAACAAAAATAGGCCCCCAGTTAGGAACCATGTTCTCACAGATGAAGCCAAACTCTTGCATCCTAGAAAATTCACGATGGTAGAGAAATTGAAAGTTTAACATCGTAGCTTTGTATGAAGACCCAACACACAATCAAATAAAAGAAAAGGCGTAACATTTATAAGAGACACTAGATATTTTATGTGGAAATCCCTAAAAAGGGGGGAAACCAAGGGGCATGGCCCAATTTAAATGAATCAAATATTATTTGCAATCGAGTGCAATGAGGCCCTACCTCAAGGGAAGGCCTTGAATGAATGTAGAAAATATACATCATATAGAACTCCTTACATGGTGGGAATTGGAAGAATCCATATTAGGGTGTCAATATTTTACACGGCTCAAAAACCCAACCCAAACTAGACTAAAAAATTTTGGGTTAAGGTCAACCCATTTGAGAAATTTGCCAGGTTAAGCTTTGGGATTTCAACCTGTTCGTAAAACTAGGCCGAGTTCAGGTTGACTCGAAAATCCAAAACAAACTCAAATTGGCCAGAGAATATCATGTCGTCTCATCATCATTGATGTCATCCTGGTCTATTATAACTAACCTCATCTTGCAAGTGTGACAATCTAAGTTGAGTGTCTGTGGGCTGGCTTCACATGTTTGTTGCTGATGTCTCACATCTCATAAGTGTCCTAGCATACTACCAACCCGCACTGCATCATTATCTTATTATCCCATCCATTATCGGCATCATCCCGTTCATGATATTGTGCATGAATGCTTGTAAGAATGGTCAACCCATTCCATACAACATCATCCTGTATATGGAAGCAGGTGCGAATTAGCATGAACCCTAATCCGCATGGGTCAGGTCGGGTCAATTCAGGTTGTACTCGAAGCTGACTCGTTGACCCTTTTTGATACTCCTAATACATATTGACATATTTATTTGGTCAGAAATATGAAAGATTGCAGGCGACCGAGGTCAAAAAGACACTAGTCTTGTGATGGAGGTCGGATGGACTATAGTTTGTGGGTGACAGAGGTCAAAATGATTGTAGTCTGGTGATAGAGGTTGGAAGGATCATATTCTGTAGGGGAAGGAGGTCGTAAAGGCCATAGTTTGTCGAATGAGGTCGGAAAGACTGTAGTCATGAGTAGTGGATGTTGGAAAGCCTGTAGACTTGCGACGAAGGTTGAAAGGACAGTTGCTTCGTGATTGAGGTCAAAAGAATCATAGTCTGGGGATGAAGGTCAGAAGGACTTTACTCAATGGGTGATAGTGGTAAGAATGACCATTATCTAGTGAAGAAAGGCGGAAGTACCATAATTGGTGGGAGAATATGGTTAGAAAGACTGTTATCATGTGACATAGGTCGAAAGGACTATAGTTGGCAGAAGATAGTGGTAAAAAAGTTTGTTTTCTAGCGAAGAAAATTGGATAACTATTGACATTTCGTGGCTAGGTGTAAATCCATCTTCAATTGGTGGCCGAGTGTAAATATGGCAATAATTGTTGGCTAGGCGGAGATCCGACTATAATCAATGGTCGAGCCGATGTTCACCATCAGCTGATGGCCGGGCGGAAGTTTGACAATAGTTTGGTGATGCCGGGTGTCTAGGAAGAGTATGGTTGCTATATATCTCTAGTTTTTCTCTCTTTCTTATCTTCCTTGCTTGGGTCCCTTTCTATGAGGAATGACGAGTCTATTTAAGATTTTTTGATGGTGGTATGGCTAGTAAATAGGAAGGAGATCAAGGGTATGCTGGGAGTGTTTTGATTGGACGACCAATATTGATCCCCCTGATTGTGAACCCTTTACTGTGCATCAGAATGACTTAACGATATCAGAATTTGGTGATATTGGGCTTGCTGGATTTGTTTCGTTGCGCCGCTCGATTCAACTGTAAGCATGTTACATTTGGAAATCATTTGTATATACAATTTATGGTTTGAACTTTCCAAAGGTACTTCGAGTCTTCGATTTGGACCCATTTGGGTATGGATTCAGTCGAATTGGGTTTGGTTGGATTCCTCTTCTTGAGACGTTTAGTTCAACTATGTGTTTGTTGATATCGGACTTCATATGGTTCCGAATATAATTTCGGAAGTTTCCAACTTGATTTTACCTCGAAATTCATGTCGGATCAAGATAACTTTTTGACGATATATCAACGAAAGATATATATGTTATTCAAACTCTTGAATTATAATTTTTCTTATTATCTAATTGTTTACACATGGTTCTTTATTGAGATTTAAATAGACAATTTTTTTAAACGGATCAACATATACATTTTTAGATAAGAAGAAAAAACTTAATTAAAGAGAAATTTAAAGAGGATCAAAATAAATAAATAAATAAATAAACTGAAATGGGTTTTAACAGAAAAGGCAAATCAATTTTTGGTTTTTTCTGAAAACAGGAAAACATTTTGCATTTTCTAAAGAAAACCCAAAATAATTTTTGGTTTTCCAAGAAAACTCCAAACTGTGTTTGCTCTACACAAAATTTAATTGAATATAATATCTGATAAATATTTAATAGAATATTAATATTAAGTATAATATTCACCAAATTAATATAATAAAGTTTAAATTGTTAAATATCATTTAATTAGATATTTATAATTAATAAATTCAACTGATTAATGGGAAATGAAAATTATATAAATAATATTAAAATTATTTTTTTTTTAATATTTTTAGTACAGTATAATATAATTTTATAATTATAAAAATTAAAATTTTGTAATATATTCTTTTCATATAAGATATATTTATAATTGAACAATTAAAATTATTCTAACAGCCTTAACTAAATACTTCATTACAAAAGTTATAAATAATAAAACAATTATTTTCTAGTTGTCGTAATTAAATAATAAAAAATTTACTATCATCATTTATGCTATTATTAAAATTCAATTAGCCTTTATGAAAACAATTAGTTTAATTGATTAATAATTTAATTAATAAACCCATAGATAATTATTAAAAGAGTTTAATGTTAATTTAATATTAGTGATAATAATATAACAGTGTGAATTTAATCTTAGCGACAATAAAATAACACTCTTAATCACTGAAGAATCTTAATAATAGTTATTTTACCAAATCAGTATCGAATCAGTATAGATAGTTAAATTCTCAAATTAAAATTTGGCCTAAATGATAAACTTTAGAAATTAAACTATCTATACTAATTGGATAGTTAGCGATAATAATATAGAAGAATCTTGATAATAGTTTCTTCACACAATTAGAATCCAATTAGTACAGAGTTTAACTTCTAAAACTAAAATTTCCCCTAAATGAAAAAAAGTTTAAATTTAAACTATCTATACTAATTGGACATTGATTGTATGAAATAACCATTAATAAGATCCTTCACTGATTAACAGTGTTATATTATTATTGCTAAGATTAAATTAAAGTTTAATACTTTTAATAATTATATATAGGATAATGAAATAATTAATTATCGATAAATTAAAATTAATATTATCATTAAAGCTAATTAGATTAAAATAAAAGCGTAAATGATGATAATTAATTTGTATTATTATTTAATTATATCTACTAGAAAATAATTGTTTAATTATTGAAAACTTTTACTAATGAGTTATTTAGTTAAGCCGGTAAAAATAATTTTTGTTGTTTAATTATAAATTTATTTTATATGAAAATAATATATTATAATTACAAAAATATATTATGTTGTATTTAGAAATATAAAAAAAATTTATTTTACATTTTATTTACGTAATTTTCATTACCCATTTAATCAAAAATATTTATTAATTCTAATTATCATATTAAATTTTATTTAACATTTTAAGCTTTATTATATTAATTTCTTAAATATTATATTAAACATTTATCAAATATTATATTAAATTATGTTTTGTATAGAAAATATAAAAGAGTTCTGAGTTCTAAGAAAACAAAAAATTGTTTAGAGTTTTCTTTAGAAAACGCAAAATATTTGATTTGCGTTTTCTACTAAAACCCAATTCTGTTTTACAATTTTGACCAATTATAAATTTCTTTTTAATTGCGTTTCTTTTTTCTTACTTAAACATGTGATCCTTTTAAATAACTTATTTTTTTCTGAAAAAAATAATAACCCAAAACTTCACCTCGTGCTTTCTATGCTATCAGAAGAAAACTTTTTGAGGTAAGGAAATACGGTTTATAGAACCGACGAAATAAGAAGTTTCATGGGAATAGGGGAGGCGGGCAAGTAAACAGGTATAAGTTAGAGGAAGCCGTGGCAGCTAGCTTCAAGGGAAAGTTATTGGCTTTGCTGCTCTGCTTCATCTTCTTAAAGGTTAGCAAAGAAAGAAGCGGAAATGGTGAGCTGTGGTAGAAATGGAGCAGTAAGGCAGTACAACAGATCAAAGGTTCCCAGGCTGAGATGGACTCCTGATCTCCACCACTGCTTTGTTTATGCCATTGAGCGCCTTGGAGGCCAAGATAGTAATGTTTTCTCATTATTTTGTTCTTCAGTCCGCATTGCGATTGTTCTTCTATTAATCCATCAAAATTATGCAGAGGCTACTCCAAAGCTGGTGCTTCAGATGATGGATGTGAAAGGGCTAACTATTTCTCATGTCAAGAGTCATCTGCAGGTGCTGTTTCGTCATAACGGGCAAGCCCTGAAATTTCAATTTGTTAAAACTATTGGTTCTTTATTGTTGTTCTCAAAGAAATTTTGTTTCCATTTTTGAACTTCTTAGCAGATGTACAGAAGCATGAGGAATGATCTAAGCAGACAAGGTATATTCAATTCATTGTTCCGTCATCCTGATAGCTTCATTGCGGATTTCAGACAAAGTTATTATCATCATTTTTCATATAAACTGTATAATTGATTAAGTTCCGCCACATTAGTTGAGTTGGACTAATCTCAAATTTTACGAGTGACTTAAATCTAGATAAGTGCAATTTTTAGTAGAGACCGATCCAAATCAGCTTACTTGTAGGCTACAAGTTGTAGCATCTCACTATCTTCTCTATGGAGAACTGAGATTTTATTTTCACAGGACTTGTGTCCATGGATATTGTTTTCTGTTGTATTTGCTGAAACATTTCACATTTATTTAACCCGGCTCTTCCCCATATTTATTATGGTTTTAAGTAATAATACATTAAATTTATGTGACAGTTATTGGAAATCAGCATTTTTTTATCTGACTCTAAGGTGTAGTTTTTTCTCGCAAATCTTAAGTTGCAGCTGTAGCCACTATTCTTTCACATGTTAGTAGTTTTGTTGCTTGATTTGCAGGGCTTATATTATAATTAATCAACTTAGACTTGATTTGGTTGTCTTTCTCTTCATAATTTTTTTGAATAAGTTTTTATTTAAAGTTAAAATATATTTATAAATTCACAATTTTAATAGTTTATATTCTCTATGTAATTATAAGATTGTACTATAATCAAGCCAAAAGTATAAATATTTGAAAATTCATACCATAATCAGTATTCTTCTAGAAGCGATGTTCCAGTCTCAAGCCTTTTAAATACTTTCCTTTTTTTTTTTTTTTTTTTTTTTTTTTTTTTTTTTTGTCTTCTCTCTAACGTTCAAGACTTTATTCCTCTCTGTTTTAATGCGTGGATTGTGTGACTCATCAGAAGAGAAGGGGACGAAAAAACATGAACCTCCCCGGAGCCTAGAGATCACCTCATGCCATTCAAATGGCTTCCCGGATTTTGTTTATATATTAATTATAACTATATTATTGAAATTCTAATTGAATTCAGGATTTCTTTTATGTTAAACAACATAAATAAGATTTTTTAAAAATAATCTTAAACTCCGTACAAGTAACAAGTGATTGGAACAGCGAAGCTAAAACTGGGGTAGTTACCTATATGCACCAGATGTTCAACTCATTGAAGAGAGAAGACGTTCATGCGAAGGCAATGATGGCGTTGCTTATAAGCAAAATCATGATGATGTATTTTTGCCCTCTTCAAAGCCCAATGAAACCCAACCCCACTTCATGCTCTCATCTCTCCCTGTACTCAAAAGGTTTGTTGAAACAACAAAGCTACTCACTTTTCTATGAAGTATTCAACATTCTTTGCCTTTCTATCTATTTATTTACAATTAAAAACTCTTTTTCTTTCAACAGAAGCATGGAGAGTAGCAATGGAATTTGTGGGATATTTACCACCCTGTGCAACTTCCATGATTACATGCAGAGAAAAAATCACACTTTCGGCTTTTACATGGTTGAAGAATCTCACACTTCGAAGGTAAATTGCATAAAGGGGAAGGACAGAGGCATCTCTTTCTCTCTATCATTAACTTTTCTGCCCCTCCCTTTTGATAGTTTACTTCAATTCATCGTGGAAAATGATGATTACTTTTTTAACTCAGCACTGCATTACTTTCTTGCATGCACTCCATCTTTTACTTTAACGGCTTTCTTTGGGATTGTTTTATTGTTTAAACTATTGCACAAATAGCTTGAAACATGGCCACATTATAGTTCAAATAGTATTAATAAAATGAGTTATTTGATAGCTCAAATGTAGCACAGGCCTTAAATCCGTAATTATATTTTATCTTCTTAAAAAAAATCCTTTCCATTCAAAGATTAGAGTTGACCGACATTTTCATTATCGATTATCTTTTTAATAATATTATCGTCAATATTTATTTTAATTCCATCTCTAACTTCTAGTATTACAAATTTAGTTTTACTCAAATCATCTATTTTTAGCAGCTGTTTTTTGGATATCAAATGCTCGAGAAGCGAGGAGGGGTCAATATGATAGTTATCTTCCTATCGCTAAAGATGTGATAATTATTGGAATATTTGATTCTCATAATAAATAGAAATTAAAAAGCAATATTGTGGCTCCCAGAATTTTTTTGAATGAATAATAATACTACTACCTTCCTACGAGTAATGGTTGCCAGAGCACGCTTCTATGGTTTAGCACAAAAAAGCAAATTTATACGTTTAGGTCAATTTCTTTCTTATCAATGCGTTAGTCTATGATATGCCAAGATATAACTAAATCTGACTCTAAACTGTATTCTCATTGATTAAGCTTCTATGCATGTCAACCGAATTTTTTTTCCTGATTAACAACTCTACACAACTTTGATAGATGAATAAAATCCTCTTCCTTTATGTTAACAAGACTCTTTTAGGAGAGTACAACAGATTTATTGCTTTTGCAAAACTTTGATTTATGAAACACAAGAGAGTAAGCGATCCTTAATCTATAATTGCAGTTTAGATGAACTAATTCTTCAACATCTTTTTTTTTTTTTAATGGTGGCAGGGCATTAAGCAAAATGGTTGTCAAACCCCAACAAGTACCATAACCTGCAGATCCGATGAAGAGGATGAACTCTCCCTCTCACTTTCATTATCTCTAAAACCCAAACATGGGAGTAGTGCTTCTTCTGCTTGTGAAAGCAGTTGTTGTGCCTTTCCAGCCGCTGGTAGAAATCACACAGAAAGCTTGCATCAGTCAAATGATTGTTGCTTAAATTTGGATCTCTCAATGTCAGCCTGTAGCTCTTATGCATAGTTGCAAACTCCTAATTTCTATATTTTGTTCTTTTCAAACTTATATTTAGATAATGTTTTGTTCTTTTCTTTTGTTAGTGATTTTGATACTATGCACCTTTCTAACAATATCATTAGCATTTGTTCGTAAATTTCAATTTATTCTTTTGTTTAACATTCTTGCTGAAAGGTGTCACTTAAATGACAGATTTACGGCTGTTTGATACTTAAACATTTAGGTAGAATTAGTTTTGTTGAAATTGTGGTGTTAGGAAAATCTATCAGTTTACGAAGTTGAGTGCTGGTCTTTAATGAATTATTTTTCAGGGCCAGTCATATAACATTCTTTTAGCTTTAACTAGCATTTGATTGACTATTATATTTATAGTTAGCAAACAATGATAAAAAATTTACCAAGCACTTATGAGAAAGTGCTGAAAGTAGGTGCTTTCTACTTTTGGCGCTATCTATTGTTTAGTTTAGAAAGGGATGACACTATAGTACAGTGTCATATTTTATCATTTTTAGCATAACTCTTTAGTTAAAGATGGCAACGGACTAAAGGCTATTTTTTGTTTTAATAATGATATTTTATAAACTAATAAACATACGAGGAATTAGAGGGGCCTACGTGTTAATAAAAAATACGGATTATAAGACCTTAATAGAATAAAAGCTAATCACAAATACATTTTTTTTAAAATAAAATCTAACAGCAAATGTTCTAATCTAATACAATAAGCAAAAAAATAAAAATAAAATCACGACAACTGCAAACGAAGAGCAACAATACACAGTTCAGTCCAAGAAAAGGCTGGACATGAGCAACATGCAAAGAAACCTTGAGAAGAAAATCCAGAAGAAATGAACTATGGACCAACGCCTGGCTAATCAACAACTCGTTCAATACATCCAAAACAACCAACAATAACCTGTAGGAGAAAGGGACCCAACCCACAACAGGGAAGAAAAAACTAAAACCAAAAGCCCAAAGCAACCAAGAGAAACCCAAAGAGCAGCTCATTAAAGGGGCCAACACCATAACAAACAACCAGAACCAAACAGCACCGCCCCCCCCATTCAGACCACAACCATACGCAAAATAAGACTCACATGAAAGAAACCAAAGGGTAAAAAGAAAACCCTAGAGCCCAGACAACCAAACAAGGATAGAGACAAGCCACAGAAGAACATAAATAAAATTGTAGAACCCAACAAAGTGCACATTCCACACCAAAGATATACTTCTTTTTTAGTTTTCTTTTTGTTTTTTTTCGCCTACTACATTTTTTATCACCTAGCCTGAAAGTGTCATCTTCGATACAAATTACCTTCAAACTAAACAACTCCATATATATGTTTGTGCTTGAAAAGTTGAGGTTGAAAAGGTTAATTTTTTTTGGGAAAATTTAATTTCTAAGATTTTGGTTTTCAGATTGAACACATTATTATGAACGATATATCGCATCGGAAGATGAAAATATTAATCCCCAATGGGTTCAGATGGCAAAACTTAAAGTTTCATCCAAGCTATAATAGTCAAATTCAAAGAACTACATCCTGCCCAGAAGGGTCAAAATGATATTCTATTTGTAATTAGCTATTATAATATGGATAAGAAAAAATTAATTTAATATTCAAAATTGTGATGGTAACTGATGTATCTCTCCAGGGAAAATAATATCATTTATTATCGATCGATTGAATATGATGATAATGATCTTCATTATTTTGATTTTTCTAATGAAAATTATTTGAGTATTGAAAATCAATTTTAAAAAGAAGATGTTGATTCTAAATCTCCTACGAGTGCAAGCTCTCATAGTTAATTTAATCATAGGGAAATTAAACTTCCTATGAATACTCTTGATTAGTACAACGACAGAAGTTTTATTTGTAAAGATTTTTGAGAAGTGATATGAGAGGAGATGAATTTAGAATCTCAATTGGGATTTGATCGAATTTGATCAATTATTTTCGAGATTAAAGGATAAAGTGTAGGATGTGATTTGTGATTCTGAAACACTTTAGAAACACCCCAGGCTATCCTATATGTTGGGCTTTAAGTTTTTATTTGAAGAGACCATTTCATTTGAGTTGAAGATTTATTAGAATAATGTTATTAGATTTCTGAAGGTTGGGATCATATGATTTTTTGTCCGCCCTGCATCCAAAGTCTAAATTGTACACTTAATGATAGTAACCCGAACCTAGCTAATAAAGTGCAAATCGGGATTTACCCTAGCCTTGATTTGGGAGCCAACTAATTACCTAGGCGCTTTAAAATATTGAATTCGGTCTTTTTATGAAAGAGTGATGGGCTATTGTTAATTAAAATTTTCATAATTATGGCCTACATCTAAAGTAGATCCTTATTGGCTTGACTTATATAAGACTAATATGCTTAGAGTAAATGCAATTAAAACTTAAGATACTTTTAAATATGTTTCTAATATAATGAATGCTAATTAACTCGATAAATACATGAATTTGTATGAAACAATTTTAAAAGGCTTAAAAATAATATTGTTCTAGAGATTGTACAACATTCCCTTGTCAGAATTTCACCCTAATGGGTCAGATAGTCTTCCAGAACTTGCGGGCAGGGAAGTGTCGAACAAGGAGAAGAAAGTAATAATATGCTTATGCAGACTCTTGACAGTTCGAGCTTACATCTTAGAACATTAGATTTTCTATGTGAGCCTAAATTTTTTTATTAAATTTTAAGTAGAAAATATTTTTTATTGTATCCTTACGAGCCTCCGCGTATCAAGGCAAAATCAAATATGGCATCAAAAAAAATTAGGAAAGACTTGAAGTTCTAAGCACAATTAGTGTAAATTAATCAATTAAAAAAATTAAATGAATTAAATATCATTATGACAAGTACAATAAGACTCACATGAAAGAAACCAAAAGGGTAAAAAGAAAACCCTAGAGCCCAGACAACCAAACAAGGATAGAGACAAGCCACAGAAGAACATAAATAAAATTGTAGAACCCAACAAAGTGCACATTCCACACCAAAGATATACTTCTTTTTTAGTTTTCTTTTTGTTTTTTTTCGCCTACTACATTTTTTATCACCTAGCCTGAAAGTGTCATCTTCGATACAAATTACCTTCAAACTAAACAACTCCATATATATGTTTGTGCTTGAAAAGTTGAGGTTGAAAAGGTTAATTTTTTTTGGGAAAATTTAATTTCTAAGATTTTAGTTTTCAGATTGAACACATTATTATGAACGATATATCGCATCGGAAGATGAAAATATTAATCCCCAATGGGTTCAGATGGCAAAACTTAAAGTTTCATCCAAGCTATAATAGTCAAATTCAAAGAACTACATCCTGCCCAGAAGGGTCAAAATGATATTCTATTTGTAATTAGCTATTATAATATGGATAAGAAAAAATTAATTTAATATTCAAAATTGTGATGGTAACTGATGTATCTCTCCAGGGAAAATAATATCATTTATTATCGATCGATTGAATATGATGATAATGATCTTCATTATTTTGATTTTTCTAATGAAAATTATTTGAGTATTGAAAATCAATTTTAAAAAGAAGATGTTGATTCTAAATCTCCTACGAGTGCAAGCTCTCATAGTTAATTTAATCATAGGGAAATTAAACTTCCTATGAATACTCTTGATTAGTACAACGACAGAAGTTTTATTTGTAAAGATTTTTGAGAAGTGATATGAGAGGAGATGAATTTAGAATCTCAATTGGGATTTGATCGAATTTGATCAATTATTTTCGAGATTAAAGGATAAAGTGTAGGATGTGATTTGTGATTCTGAAACACTTTAGAAACACCCCAGGCTATCCTATATGTTGGGCTTTAAGTTTTTATTTGAAGAGACCATTTCATTTGAGTTGAAGATTTATTAGAATAATGTTATTAGATTTCTGAAGGTTGGGATCATATGATTTTTTGTCCGCCCTGCATCCAAAGTCTAAATTGTACACTTAATGATAGTAACCCGAACCTAGCTAATAAAGTGCAAATCGGGATTTACCCTAGCCTTGATTTGGGAGCCAACTAATTACCTAGGCGCTTTAAAATATTGAATTCAGTCTTTTTATGAAAGAGTGATGGGCTATTGTTAATTAAAATTTTCATAATTATGGCCTACATCTAAAGTAGATCCTTATTGGCTTGACTTATATAAGACTAATATGCTTAGAGTAAATGCAATTAAAACTTAAGATACTTTTAAATATGTTTCTAATATAATGAATGCTAATTAACTCGATAAATACATGAATTTGTATGAAACAATTTTAAAAGGCTTAAAAATAATATTGTTCTAGAGATTGTACAACATTCCCTTGTCAGAATTTCACCCTAATGGGTCAGATAGTCTTCCAGAACTTGCGGGCAGGGAAGTGTCGAACAAGGAGAAGAAAGTAATAATATGCTTATGCAGACTCTTGACAGTTTGAGCTTACATCTTAGAACATTAGAGTTTCTATGTGAGCCTAAATTTTTTTATTAAATTTTAAGTAGAAAATATTTTTTATTGTATCCTTACGAGCCTCCGCGTATCAAGGCAAAATCAAATATGGCATCAAAAAAAATTAGGAAAGACTTGAAGTTCTAAGCACAATTAGTGTAAATTAATCAATTAAAAAAATTAAATGAATTAAATATCATTATGACAAGTACCACTTAGTTTACAACCTAGGGTCTGCAGAATTAAAAGTGATCGGGTATCACTAACAAAACCCAGATTCTAATCTTAGGACTGACACAAGTGACTTTGAGTGAGATACTCTTCTATCTTCACTTCTTCGTCCTCCAACAAGATCCATGAATTCTTCAGATCTTGATATCCGAATGAAAAGAAACTCCTCCCCGAGGGAGTGTTTTCTTTTATCTTTGGATATTAAAGTTGTCATAATTTTTATCTCCAATTGGAAGAGAGCTCTTCCCTAAGGGATAATATCTCCTCTTTCGATTCTACGTTTGATATGGCATCCTAACTCAAATAACATTTTTTTAACACTTTCTTACATTGAATTGAAATCAATAA